GGCGGGACCGCGCTCGTCACGCAGCCCGTGGCTGCTTGCCTGTGTCTCGTCCTTCCTGCAGCCGCTTACAAGGTGTCAAAGGCGAAGAGGGTGATTATTACCTGCTGGGCGAGGCACGTGTTCTTCTGAAAACATACGAAATCCTTTCTGATTTCACGTGGGGTAAATAGCTGTGACACCGCCCTTGGAAAAGGGTCAGTGTGCAGTACCGTACTGCACCGCCTTATGACAGGGAGCTTGACTGATGGAGAGTTGAACCGACAAGACCGATCTCCGCAAGTCGTTTCCTGGCTGCTCGGCCTTGTCACCCTCGGTTTCAGTTGGATCTGGGGGGCATTCAGCACTTCTTGAAAGAAGATTCAACATGAATCTAGTAATTCAGTGCCCACCTTTGGAAAACTTCCCTTTTGCTTAGGAAGGTCTGCGATAGGGCCACGAATAGAGCTAAGGTCTTACTAAATCCAGTCAAATGACATATGGGAAAAGCAGTCTTGTAGTTATGATGCATGAAGAAGCATTACTAAAGGGATCTCATCATACAGAGTGCTATTCCTACTGTATCAAAATTCACAAGACAATTACAGGGCTGAGCTAGTCACTCACCCCGTCACTGCCGGCTGTGTGGGCTGGGTTGGGGTGAACCTGCCTCAGGCAGGGCTTGGACACGACTCTGGAGGTCCCTCCTAGCCCTGCTTCTCTGCGACTCCCTCCCTCCAGGCTGGCACCATTCACCTGCCCTGATGCCAACCCTGAGATATCACCTCTACAACAAGTCCTGAACCCTGAGATGGGGCACATTGGCAGCAACAGGAGGGAGGGCAAAAGCAGCAGGCAGGGAAAGCGGCAGAGCAACAGGTGCGTGGGGGCACTGGCATTTTCTACAGAACTCTGTCATCATGATGATGGGCTTGGCCTTCAAGACACCATAGTGGTGGGAAGAGGCACCAGAGCCATCTTCACATCCTTGAAAGGCTACTGTAAGGAGAGAAAGCACCTTTTCTGGCTTGCTGCAGAGGAGGTGGCCCAATGGCTTGCAGTTGCAGCCAAGCTGGTCTAGGTTGCATATCTATCTGGGAAAATGTCTTCACCGTTAGAATGGCGAGGCAGTGGAATAGCCTGTCTAGGGGAGCTGGGGACTCTTCATCACTGGAGGTGTTCAAGGTTGGACAGCCACTGGTGGGGGATGATGTAGGCATAGTTATGCTTATGTTCTTCTATGGGTATACAGGCAGGGACTGAGTCTGTCCATCTGCCACTGCCTGGGCCCAATCCCCTCTTCCCTCCTGCCACTTGGGATCCAGGCCCGCTCCCCCCTGCCCTGCTGTGGCAGCAGAGAGTGGAGGAGTAGGCCTGGGCCCAATGCAGAGGGTGTGGGGGGGGGGCGGACAGGGCCCGAGGGTGCGGAGACGGCAGGGGCAAAGCAGTCATGTGCAGGATTAAAGCTGGGCAGCAGGGCACCCCCTGGAGGCAGCTGGCTCCATGCATGTAGAAGGGACCCCAAGCATTGATCCTGCAGTTGCTTATATACAGGCAGACTACAAGATCTATAAATGCTCTTTAGGGCAGAGACCATGCTATTTATCCTGTGTCTATACAGCACCCACCTATGAGAAGCCAAATCTTAAATGAGTATTTTGAGTACTTACTTTTAATACTATTGTTTATGTTAAAGTAATTTTAGTTTCTGGAAAACAGAGGATATGCTTCTAAAGGCAGCAGCTTTGTGTATTTTCATTTTCTTTTAGAAGTATACATGCTTTGAAAGCTACTTAACATTTGGTATGTGCAAATAAATCATCTTGCCCAGGTATAATTTTGCAAGCCTAAGCCAGTAGACAAGATCTTACCAGAGTAAAAATGTAAAAAAAAAAGAGTGGATATAAAGTACCTCCATGACAACTGTAGTCACATTGAATAGTGCATTACTTCCAAAATAGTCCTAGTAAAGTCAGTAGGAGTAGTTATAAAATGCACCTACTGCCCTTCTTTGTTCTGGGTAAAATAATTATAAGAATTCAGCCTTAAATGAGTTAAATTTAAAGGTAAAAAAAGAATCACTCTTGATGTGGAGCTCTACAGTGATTTGAGCATAAAATTATTAATCAATTAATTAAATGGAAGTTACTTTTGTAAGACTGCAGTGCTGTTTATTTAGTCAGAAAGTCAAAAGGCTCAGTGAATAGCTTAGACTTTTTTAGATACTGTCTAAGTATTGACTTTATACATAAAGTTTATTTAGTTGGTGTTGGAACCCTGTGATTGTCTTTTCTACCTTCTTTTCCTGGCATAGGTAGAATTAGGATAGTAGTTCAATAGTTTACAACAATTTGTGTGTCCAGTAAATAGCATACATATTTTTCTTGGAAATTATTGGCAACAAGTTACAAAACAGAACTGTGATCTATAAGAAATTAGGTGTTTGACTGAATTTTACAATAAACTTTGTGGCATTTGGTGAAATGCCTAACATTTCTGTGGACACTTTGTGGAATTGATATAAATTAATAAGAATTATATTTTTGTTACATAAGTCACAATGCCAGTATAGTGCTCACTTAACCATGTAATAAGAACAAAGCTTTTCAGTAGAATGAGGATTCATTTTTTTTTTGCTTTCTAAATATTTCTTCAGGGATGGAAACTCATTGGCTTTAGACACGATTAGAAGAGGTTTTTGGTCAGAGGCTGGAGATTTGTGCCGGTGATTCTATTTAGTTCCTCAAGAATTTGTTTTTCCTTTTGATACATCTACATGGAGGAGGAAAGACAAAAAACAAAACATCAGGAGAATGTTTACATTTTTCTTTAATGAATGTACTTTTATAACTTTATATTTGGGTGCAAGTACCTGAAAGATGGGCAGGTGCTATTCTGTACTAAAAAGTGAAGCACGTAAAAAGAGCACCTTGTTATCATGTAATGACCGCCCCTTGAAATGTAATCAATATGATAGCTGTTAAATTATACAGAAAATAAACACAGCTAACAGATAAGATTGAAAAATAATTGGAGAGAATATCCAAATGACAAGAGGCGAGCTAATACTGGTGTTCAGAACCCAACTGGAATCAGTGTTAACATTTAGAAACCACAATTTTGCATGAGAGCCGATTACTTTTGACACAGAATCAGCAAGCTGATAAACCTACAACCTGGAAATTCTCTTAATGCCATACTAAGAGTTATTCTTCTGATCAGAAGTGCACTTGAAAGGGAAGAATCCTGCCTTATTCTTGCCAACGTCTGCTTATTTGAGTAATTTTACCATCTTGAGGAGACTGATCATGTGAACAGAGGTATTCACATGACTTGCATGCAAGTATTTACATTACTTCCCTTATTATAGATGGAACCTCTCATCCATGGATTAAGGCACTTTTCCCCTCTGGCCTTAGAGATGCAGATTACTTTTGTAAGGAGTCAAGTGCCCTCAGCTCCCACTGACTTTGATCACAGTAGCTACAGTTTACTAAATAAACTAGAACTATGAGTTCAGGAATGCAATTTTTTGCCTATATTCTTGTCAAGTGCTATGACCTAAACCTGGGCTTCATCAGTAACTGGATGGGAAGCCAAAGGAAATAATGTATTTCTCTCTGAATCAGCACTAAATTAATTCCCCAGCATGAGAGTTGGGGCAGTGAGCTGTAAGAGGTTCCACTGCAAGAACCAGTTTGAGAGTAGATGTGTCACAAAACATCAACAGGCTTCTTCACTGAACGCAGCATTTATCCTGATGTTCTGCCAATACTGGTAATTATACATATCCCAATGTTTGGAACAAAGATTAGATGACAGAATACCTGGATTCTGTTCCACACTTCAAGTCAATGAGTGTGTGACATGCAAATAGTTAAATCTGTCTCAGTTTCCACAACTGTCAAATGCAAATAACCTATCTGTAAAATGCTGGCAACCTCTGATTACAGAACTATATATAATTGCACAATGTTAAAACCTAAAATTATACCTACAGTTCAAATGTTGTATTGTAGTATTATGATACACAACTTCTGCACTGATTCTTACATGATGACAGCAAAATTACACCTCCATAGTTAAGGGTGGAAATACCTACATTAAGCCCTTTTTGTTTGTTTGTTTTTAACTCCCACCCCAAAGTTTTAGATGCGATTACATAAGATTTGAGGATTCCTTCAGATGAAAAGCACATTATAATATTGCACTATCTTCACATTCTGAATGTCTGTACAGCCCCACAGACTATCAGGATATGAAGGTTACATTACAAGAGATACCAGTAGTAAGGGAAATGCCTCTAAATTTACAAAGATTTGATTTGCTA